ATATTATTTTATACTATATTTTATTCTACGTGTTTTATTTTTGTACGTAGAATAACCTACTGTTAATTATTTTTTCCTGTCGTGTCTAGAATTAGTTAGATTCGAATATATCTAGTAAATCTTCAAACTCGACTTTCTCAAAAATTTTATATTATTTTATAAAAATATAATTTTATAAAATTTTATATTATTTTATATTATATTTTATTTTACATGTTTTATTTTTGTACGTAGAATAACCTACTGTTTATCATTCTTTTCTGTCGTGTCTAGAATTACCTAAACCCAAATATACGTGATAAGTTTTCAAACCCGGTTTCCTCGAAAACGGAGCTTTTCGTATAAGAAAATTTCACACCTAGAATATTCTCACATTGTACCACGGTTTCGGGAGCATCGTGTACGAGTCAAAACTCAAAGAGACTCGTTTGAAAAACTCCGATCCTATTCAAAAAGAAAAAAAAAAAAAGGAATCCTATTCACAAGTCACTCGACAATATATTTCCCAGCGATGTCGCCCGAATTTCCCGAGCTTCGTCACGATCGTAGGAAATCACGTCTCGTCTACTTCGATGTTTGCGCAAGCGATAACGCTCGTCGGTTCCGATCTTTAATTGTGGCCCGCGTCGAAAATTCTCTTCGTGAAACGTGAAATCTGTCGGATACATCGGTTCGTGACGACGCAACACACCCCGTCGAGAACTGAAACGAAACGAAATGGAGGAAAAGGAGGAAACGCAACACCCGACGAGTCTACGTACTGTATAATGTCCTCGACGACCGTAGAAGCCATCGGGAGGAGGATTGCGCTTACCATCGCGTCTGGATACTTGAACGATGAGAGAATCGATGCCTCGTTACAAGTATATGGCTGCCTCTGCGATTGTTCGATAGAGCCCGGAAGCCATTACGTGCCATTACGTGGCCCATTTCGGCGTAAAATCGCGCCAGCCTTTGAGATCCCGGACTGCTTTTGTTGATCATTGATCATTCGTCGATCTCTCTGTCCCATTGTCGTCGATTGATCATCCTGCGGGCGATGATTCGCGGAGAAGATGAGAGACGGAGGGATTGCAAGGTTCTCGTGAACAAACCAGGTATTTTAAATGGTAACAGAAGTGTATTTTTATGCAATTGGCGCAACTTGGGTAGATTCGTGATTATATATTCTATATTATATATTATTATTATTTTTATTATATATTATTTATTATATTATATATTATTATTATTATTTTTATTATATATTATTTATTATATTATATATTATTATTATTATTTTTATTATATATTTTTATTATTATACATTATTACTTTTTTAATAAAACATCAAAGCGTGAGAGAAAGTTAATTTTATTAATTTTCAATTAAATTTAAGTTCAAAAAATTATCTCTTTCAACAGAGCGCTTAATAATAAGCGTGAGAGAAAGTTAATTTTATTAATTTTAAATTAAATATAAGTTCAAAAAATTATCTCTTTCAACAGCCAGAGCGTTATATAATAAAAAGTTAGTTAATAATAGCAAGGTTAATAATAAAAAGATCACGTATTTGAGTGATTTTTGGGCCCCGGTAATTGGAACCTAATCTAAACCAGGCTAGATTTTAGACTGCCTATTCTGTTCGCCACTTGGTTCCCAACGCTACTTTCCTTCGCGATGATCAGAGGAGAAAGGAGAGAAAGGAAGAAGGCAAAATGAAGAAGAGCAAATTCGAAGATTTCACTTTTCGGCGTTTGACGACGCAATTGCACCCTGGCGAGTGAAGTTGGTTGCAAGTCTTTCGCTAGTGCTTTCTCTTTTCGAACGTGGAGGACTCGAGTGCTTAATTTGCCGTCGGTCCGACTCATCCCGAAAACTATAATTACAGCAGAGTCTTAATGGAACGTCCGACGCGACATGTTCAAAACGTCCGCGTCAAGGTTGGTAAAAGGAATTACATACCAGCGAAAACTTCCTCCTGACGATGCTTGCTCGGAGGAACTTTCTGTGCTCGAAGGCTCCCCTGAATCACGTTTGAGGAATGTCTTTGCCGTCACGACTGGTGAATCAGTCGTTTTTATCAGAGAGGATTGTCAAATTTTCGTCGTGAGAGGAAGTAAGAACGACGAGATTATTTATCGATGACAACGACAAGGTTAACAGGTGAAGAAAGACGATGGAAAGATGGTCGATGCTCTGTACAAACGAGCTTAAAGAAAGAAGGAAGAACAATGTCGGGCAGCCCCCCGAATCTTGGTGTGAATTGCACGTTAATCAAAACGGGTGACGCTGAACGCCGAGTGGTAAAGTCGTTCCACAGCGTGGCGTAGTTGATGGCGGCTATGTCAAGGCCGTGGCAATCTCCCTGCTTTATCTACGTCGAGCCTGGCTCGATTAGCTGCTCGTTCATTGAAAATGCACACTTGCGTATAAAAAAGTGTCGGCACTTTCACCTCGTCGGCTAATTATAGACTCAGGAAGAATAAATGTAAGCCAGCGCGCGTGTTGCGAGTGGCAATATCAATCGGAGTGTGTCCTGAAAATCGAGACGGAAAAATATGAAACATCGAATCACTGGAAATGTGTGGACAAGGTGACAAAGGACATTTATCTTTTTACCTTTGGTAAACGAACGAGAGAAAGAGAACGATTTGAGCGAAAGCTCAAACGACGCTAGAAAGGGAGACATACCTATGATTTTTGTTCAGTCGAAGGAAAGGCAGTTGTACCTGTGAATAAAGATTTAGACTTTTAATTCGGGATTACCCACGTGGGAGTCTAGTGCCGGAATGTACCTGCACTAGACTGCCAGGTGGGTAATCCCGGGTTAACGAGATTACAGGTGAAAAATTGTAGTGTTTCACAATTGAAAATAAATAGAAATTTGAAGTTGGTACACATACGTGTCCAAAAGCTCGAAAGGATTAAAGATCAGTCTTTAAATGGAACGATAAATGGTACATATTTTCTCCTGTTTCACAATTGAAAATAAATAGAAATTTGAAGTCGATACACGTACGTGTCCAAAAGCACGAAAGGGTTGAAGATCAGTCTTTAAATGGAACGATAAATGGTACATATTTTCTTCTGTTTCACAATTGAAAATAAATAGAAATTTGAAGTTGATACACGTACGTGTCCAAAAGCTCGAAAGGGTTAAAGATCAGTCTTTAAATGGAACGATAAATGGTACATATTTTCTCCTGTTTCACAATTGAAAATAAATAGAAATTTGAAGTTGATATACGTATGTGTCCAAAAGCTCGAAAGGGTTAAAGATCAGTCTTTAAATGGAACGATAAATGGTACATATTTTCTCCTGTTTCACAATTGAAAATAAATAGAAATTTGAAGTTGATACACGTACGTGTCCTAAAGCACGAAAGGGTTAAAGATCAGTCTTTAAATGGGACGATAGATGGTACACATTTTCTCCTGTTTCACAATTGAAAATAAATAGAAATTTGAAGATGTTGATAAACATATGTACTCGAAGAGAGTTGAAGTTCACCGTTTAAACGAAAGAATGTCGTCGCTCGAATACCAAAAATAAAACAGCCTGTGATGCAGTTGTCGATGTCGAAGAAAGGAAACCGTGCCGCCGTTTCCGGGGAACTGTGAATGAGTTTCACAGGGAAAACGACGAATCGAAAGAAGAGAGAAAAACGAGCTGGACGCGCTCGGAGCATTTGGCGAGAAACGAGCGGAGCGCTCGGAATGTGTAACGCGAGCTGGTGTGTATAACGATACACCTCCTCAACGAGAACCGGCAGCGTTAATTTCGCCCGACAACCTTGCACATCCCCAGCGGCGCTGCTGCACGCGGATCCGACGTGGTCGTCAGCTGTGCGCGAAGGTCAGGGTCGTCCGAGGGTGCAATCGATGCACGATACCGCCGCCACCCCTCGCTCTGGCTGCAGTTACCATGGAGACCATCTCCTGACCCATTGCTACAGAGAACTCGAGAGAGAGCGAGAGAGCCAAGTTTCTGTCGACACGCAGAAGCCGCATCGACTGTCGGGTCTCTCTCTCGATGAGAGTGTGCAAGGAACCTGGGACCATATCCGACGCACGACCGACCGAGGAGGAAAGACGCGACAGTGACGAGCGCGGCGTCACGTTTCCGCGAGCCTACGGGCGGAAAATCGGTCAGGAAGCCGGCGGTACCTCTGTCCCTCTTCCTCTCTTACGCCACGTCAACGAGCTTCGTCCGGACTTTTCAATAGGAACACCTCGGCTGTGGTGACCTTGCATCGTGAAACGTGACACACGACGCGAAGGAAAGTGACAGAAAAACGGTGGAACGCAACACGCGAAGAAGCGTTAAATGGTGAATCTCACCCTGTGGATGGTTCGTCGGAGCGACGTAACGACAAGGGAACGGGTGGTTACGAAACGACGCGAGCGAGTCTGCCCGAGTTCGCACGAACTCGTCGTGTTTCCTTTTTCCCCGTTCGTACACGAATCCGTCTTGATTCACCCCTTGGCGCACGTTGGTGTAACGCGAATGAGAAGAGGAAGGATCCACGAACGGATCGGTGGATCCTCGTACGTTCGCGGAGGAACCGGTCGCCGGGGAGAACGCGTGGTGGTGGACATGGTAACGAGGCATTGTGCAAGGTCGGTATGAACGGAGACTAAGGTCAGCTGGTACGGGATCGATATCCACCGAAATTGTCTCGACACGCACACACGCACACACACGCGCGCGCGTCTCCCCGTTCGCGAGACTCAGTGGTAGCGGGAATCGAGTGAAAAAAAAAAAAAGAAAATAAAAGATCGTGACGAGACAGGGGTAGGAAAGATGGACGGATGGAAGAGCTGGAAAAGGGCGGAGAACTCGTTTCTCACGGCGTGGTATCAGCGTGTGACAGAGTCTTACGTGGCGACATGGTTCTTCGGGGTGTTTCAGAGCAGCAGGATGTCGACGAGCACCGCCACCGTTGGCGGAGGTGGAGGCGGGGGTGGCGGTGGTGGAGGAGGAGGAGGAGGTGGAGGAGGGGGCAGCGGCGGCGGAGGGGTCGGCGGTGCCCTGACATTGATGGGCTGCGTCAGGGAAGCGTCGCCCCCGCCGCAGAATCATCACCATCATCATCATCATCATCATCAGAATCAACATCAACCTCGGACGCTCGGCCTCGGCGAGTACTCCGCGCAGAACAGCGTCGATCCGCTTCCAAAAGGTAGGAATCATCATCGTACGCTGCTCTCGTCTTACAACGTTTGCTCTTTTTTGTTTTTCTTTTTTTTTTTTTTTTTCTCCTACGAGTGACGACAGATTCGCGAGGTAGGTTTCACTTCGCGAGGGAATCTCGATCGGGAGCGTCGTCGACGGGATATTATACGCGGAATAAATTAAAGTAAAATTGCGCGCCGAGGGCAAGAGACACGGTCTAGACGGCGAAACGTCGTAGGGGAAAACGACGTTTCGCTCGTCGTCGCGTATCGTATTTTTCAAGGTCTCAGGCAGACGCCGAGCCGTGCCCGTGAAAAACACGATTTACGTAAACGGCCCTCTGGTCTGTCGACGCTGCGATTTGTTATTCGCGATTTATCCTTCGAGCGAAAATTTTTGGAAGAAAATGAAACTCTTCAATTTCGTCTTGTCTCGATTAATCTCTTGCGCTGGATGGAATGACGTGCCATGCACGTCGGGAATTTTTTATTCCAAAATTGTAATATTTTCTCAGTCTTAACTACATTTAAATGAAACAAAATAGGCACAGATAATAAATTTATTACTTCTCGATCATTTCTATCCAGTGATATCGTACCGACGAGTTCAAAAAGAAAGCGACGAATATATTATATATATATATTGTATATATATATATTGTATAATATATTGTATAATATATTGTATATATATATTGTATATTATATTGTATATATATATTGTATAATATATTGTATAATATATTGTATATATATATTGTATAATATATTGTACACGGTTTGGTCACTCGTTATGGTCCGCAATCAATTGCCAGCACAAGTGGTTAACCTCTTGCGTTGAAATGACGTGTCACGCACGTCGAGAATTTTCTGCTCCAAAATTGTAATATTTTCTCAGTTTTAAGTATTATTTTAAGCAAAACAAAATAGGCAAGACAAATAACAAATTTACTACTTTTCAATATATTTCTATCCAATTATATCGTACCAACGAGTTCCAAAAGAAAACGACGAATATATATATATGTATACGGTTTGGTCACTCGTTATGGTCCGCAAGTGGTTAAATTGCCTTTCGTACGAAAATTCTACATCGGCAGAGGTTAGATATTGGATATCTCGCGAGATAGAAGGGGAACGGAGAAAATGAAACGTCTGTTGAATCAACGACGGGGGGGGGGGGGAGAAAGGAAAAGAAAAGAAGGGTGAAGTATTCACTTGCAAGTTAAATCGTTAATCGCGCTGCCCGATTGACGATATTAACTTACGAGTTAATCCAGCCCGGAGCTCGGTAATCTACCGGAGGCTAATGAAAATAAAGAGGTCGTTGGACCCGCAGAGGTCTCGGAAACGCAGCGCTGGGAGGCAACGAAGTCACGTTCCTCCGACGACAATGAATAAAAGGGCACTCTGCCGGATTACCCTTTAATAATTCGTTGCAACCGCGCCCATTATTCTCGTTTCGCGCGGGCACTACAACACCGCGCGCGCCCCCGCCCCCTCCCACCCCCCGTTCAGCGGAACCAGACATCTCTTGCCGGAAACTTTCACCGTAATCCCTCTTCTTTTTGCTCGAAACGAATTCCACGTGTTTTCTAATCCCCCGAATCAATCATTCTCGTAATTCCACGTTCGCTCGTGGAAATCTCTTTCTTTTTTTTTTT